ATGCACTTTGCACGATTATCCCTTATTCTCTACCTAAGTTCAATTCTGTGTATTTTGTTTGCCCTAACGGTACTATCAGCTTGGTACATTATTTGAAGGTTCAATGTGACCTAACGGTGCTTGATAGCTGAGATAGGCACTATATCTTTGGTATAGCCTGCATTTAGCTCTTAACTCGGGCCCTGTCGTCAGTCCGCAAACAAACTGGTTCTTTCCGCTTACCGGAACACCGTTTCCTTTGATCCATTGCACGCTCGTATAATTCGCCTCATAACCACTGCCACCAAGACATTTGCCGAGTTTCTGGGTCCTAATTCTTCAAGCATGTACCCAAATAACTCCTTGTGTAGTAGAATTCTTACTAGGTGGTCGCTGCGAGAACAGACAATATTCCTTCCGAACACGAAATGATCGCAGATCCTAACACTTCCTCTAACTGATCTCAAATCTCTGATCGTATTCAAAAATTACATAATATCAAGCCGTCCTCCAAATCAAATTCTACCATTATCGCTTATGTCGCCACGTTCATATGAGAATTCTAAACCAACGATCCCCTTGGGTTCCGTGCTCTTATTCTCTCCCAATCAATAATGCAAATAGTTCATCTTAATTGCACTAGCATCCGTAACATGTTGAACAATACCTTCCTTTCATGGTGGTGGTGTGGCGAATTCTTATATCTAACAGACTTTTATTCTCTTACACATCTAATTTTGCAAATTGTGTACCTATCGAAGCTTGCAACTGCATCATTCACACTTCCTTAGGCCAATTTCTGATCATTATTTTTTATATTCCACCTAATTGTAATGTTTCAGATTCTGCAATTAATAGATTATTTTCTTTGAGATCTGACATATCTGCATTAATATGTGGTGATATTAATACTCACAATGTTTCTTTGTGCTCACATTGTGCCTCTTTTTTATAGCGCGACGAATCATCGGGAAACAATAAACCACCATGTGTCAGCATCTCTCCATCATCTCTCCATATGTCAACGTTTACTTTATAACCCAATCCTAAAATTACTTCTTGAGCGCGATAATACCGAGTTACAACGTAAGGTGTCATCATAAAAGTGATACCAGATGTCCGAGCTATTCCAAAGTCGAGTATTTTTAATGTACAATTAACTTTTATAACAATATTTGACGGCTTTAAAAAAAAAGGAATATAACTCAAAAAATATCCCAACAGTGAAGGCACTATTGCAAACAACTTATTTGGGTATTGGGAACGCGACGAAGCCGATTAAATGGATGAAAATAATGAAAGTTTATATAATAAACTTAAAGAGTTACGCAAATGGCTGCCTGAGGACATTAGAACCGAGAAAAGTGCCACCGAAAAGCAATAAAAAAAGAGAAGTAGCGCCAAATGTATGACAATTTTTGGTGAAAATCAATGTTTCAAAGATTTTCGTCAGAGAAATTTACAAGATGTGGTATGTTGAGCTATGATTCAGCCATTAGATTAGATAGAAATTCTCGAAATAAAGCTCTAACAATGATAAATCAACTCAGATAAAATATGGATTTATAAGTTACTTGATGCTATCATAATGTATTTAGTCTGACAAATAAAATTCCTCACTTAAAACAATAAAAATGAAGCAAGAAGGAAATCAGGTTAATAAAGTGCGCTCGGAAAGTAAAGGTTTATTTAAAACAGTACTTTCGGCATTTTTATTAAGTGTCTCCTTAGTAATTATTTTAATTAATTTTGCGCAATTGGGTTTGTGAGGGTCGATTTTTCTTTTTAACAGAATTTTGAGCGATGTTTTCGTCTTCTTAACAGAATGTTGAGCGATTTTTTTTCTTTTTAGCAGCATTTTGTGCTACATTTCTCTCGCGTCTCTACTCTTACACTTCTTTCACACATTAACATCTATTGTCCAATTGCTACATATTCTGTGCAATATGTGCGACGATTTTCGTAATGTTCGATCGCTCCAAAATCAATTGTCATCATTTTCTCCTAATAACACCATTTATTTTCGAGCCGCTTTCGATTTGTAAGTGCCTCATTGATGAAGATCAATAAATAAAAACAAAATCATGTATAATTTTGGCAAAATTAAGCAGTTTTAACAAAAAAAAAAGTTGTAATCAGTGGGTTGTACTGCTCTCCGAACTGGCGCGAATACCTACCCATATTAAGTGGCGTAGAATTACTTGAAATTCCGATGGGTTATGAGTAATAAAGTCTAATTTGAAAATGTTTGTTGGTGTAGTCGCTTCTCCAATTCAAGAGGCAGACAAATTCGAGATTTTCTTGAAAGCTGCAATTTACTCTTACTAAATAATGTTGATCCTACTCATTTTGGTGGCGCTTCTTCTTGCATGGATCTTTCGATCAATACACCTAATCTAAGTTCTCCAAGTACCTGGAAGACCCTTACGGACAGCTTTGCTGGTTCTCACTGTCTAATCGAAATTGGTCTTCATTTGCGTAGTATTACCCGCTGCCACTCACGTACCCATGTTTCAAAGTATATCAAACCTTCTTTACTTAACAATACCACTCGTAACATTTCAAATACCATCCAAACCAATGCGAAGCGAAGTAGCTTTTAATGTAGAAACTGTAACGTATAATAATATCTCAGGATAAGATTAGGATATTGTAGCGTCATTATTACAAAGGTAAAGTGAAGTACAAAAAAATGTATCTTTTATAAATGAAAAAATAAGCATTTTTTTTACTTATGTTTCAGGTACCCAAGGCCGATCGAGAAAATCATATCGAATTGCAAATCTACAACAGAAGGGAGTACTATCTAAAAAGATGGTTTAGTGAAAAGAAAAAAACCCCGTTCTATAGGTGAAGATTACGTACCGAATTAGCATATGTACGTATATGTGAACCATTCTCACACAAAATAAGTGTACAACGTCATTTCCAAAGTATGTGAAACTTTCTTTACGAAACAATACTACTATATTTCAAAAATTATCGAAGGCAATGATTCTGGTGGTTTCGTTCACAAGTTCTCAACGTCTTTCACTGATTCTCTGAAACAAAAGTCTTCTACAAAATCCTACCTTCCTAATCCTTGGTGGAACACCGCATGCTTATATTTTCCCCACGGCAATTACTAATAAAAACCTCATAATTGCAGGTTGTGTTTTTAATCGGTTGTAATTATTTACTTTAACCTATTTTTCTCCATTGCTTTGGCTCTATTAAGTTTTACGTTAGTCGTTAAGGAACGATCAACTTTTTCGCTCTCACTCCATAACATTTCCGTTACTTTACTGCAAGTAAAGCCCACAGACGACGATGATGACACGCTGTTAGTATCTACGACGAAGTCATCATTATCGCCTAAAACAACTAAAGAAATAAATAGCACACAAAAAACTGTAATAGATCTAACAGGTAGAGCAAAAAGTCATGCACAAAAAAATTTCTAAATGCAATGAATGCCTTCGTTTTCTCCTTCTTCTTCTTCTTTTAGAATGTGGTATAGATGGAGCTTTCTTTGTAGCTGAAATTACTACCCAATTACCGAATTACAATCGTTCATCAGTAGTAGAAACGTCTGGAGGTAATAATTTCCAGCAACCTAACTTTCAAAATCCATGCATTTTGAAGGTAACGTCACGCGTGCGGTAATTGACAATTTTAAAATACCTTATTATTGATGAGTTATTAAGCAAGTTATGGACTAATTCCTATTTTAATTATCTTGTTTATTTAATTTAAGTTTACAAAATAAAATTTGAGTTACATTATGTAAATTAAACTTCCATCGATTTTATTTGCAATTTCATTTCATTTCTTTTCACATTTCAACTTATGTCAAATGAAGTCATACGTAAGTGCATTCCAATTCTGCGTCTTATAACGGTCTTGAAAAAAAAATTAATGTTAGGTAAGCGTGGTCAATTCTATGTATGTAAATATTTGCTTCTTAAGCCTCTAAGTTTTTATCTCTCATTACGCGAGTTTGTTTTAAAAAAATAGTCTTTTTCATTATTAGTAAAATCCTGTTTTTAATTATCCGAACGTCGGCTTGAATGGTTCTTCTTTTTAAATTGTCCTTTTTCACAAGTTTGAACATTCCTTGGTTTTATGTAAACTTATGCCCCCGACTTAAGAAAAAGGTGCATGTATTTTCCCTAACAATGATACTTTTATCTCTCTCCGTATTCGTACTGTGTTAATAAGTTGTGAGCAAAAACGGGGAGAAATGGTTGTGAGCCTCCCTCTTAAAATATTGAGCAGCTATTTGATTTATGACTTAAACAGAATTGACGTGAGATTAATTGCCAATACCAAGTGTAAAATTAATAAACGTGCGTATAGAACGAACCGATAAACCGAATATAATCACATCTAGAAAAATTAGATTACAGTCGATCCATATTAATTGAATTTCAACAAATGAATAGAAAGAATAAATAGAAATTAAAAAATAGAACTAACTTATCACTCCATTGGACCTGTTCGCTTAACAAATTTCCTTCATTCTTCTTCATCGGAGTAAATGTTAACACGAGATCTTTATTAGCAGAACCTAAACGCGAGACTATTTTCAAATAGCTTTTCTTTGGATGGTTATACGTTAAATTAATATTAGATCCATAATCCCGAAACGTAGTTGAAAGCGATTGATGAAAACGTTGAGCATAGGTAGAGACTAATGTGGCAGAGTGCTCGCTATGAGAAGCTCTGTTCCGCTGTCAACCCATAAATCACCGTACTTGGTACTGTACAGTTAAAATCCCGCGTATATGCTTATTCTCGCCTGGTTGGCATTTTTACAAATTATTGAGATTATATACACTTATTCTCGCCTGGTTGGCATTTTTATACAAATTATTGAGAATATATACTAAAGAAGCGAGAAATGATTATTTTATTATATTTTATTTATTATATATACATAACATATAAAAATACCTATGTACACATATGCATATGCTTCAAGGCTCTTCAACTCCATGCAAGTTTAAATTTATTTTATGTTCATATTTATTTTCCATCATAAAATTAAATCTTTTTTTGAACGGTTTACTACTCATCGCCTTTGCCGACCTACCAAAAGAAGGTGTTTTTGTTTCTTTCATAGTTTATGAAAAATTCTTTGGCCAAGTAGAGCATGGCAAATTAAAAATTGCTATTGGCGAAAAAGATAGTCGCTGCATCAAAAATTTGAATTGGAAGAAGACCGTGCTAATGATGTCAACAAATAATATTTTTATAAATAGAAGGGTTCGTCAAAGGTGCGCCATGCATTAGGTTTCATCCAAAACGGGAAACTGACTAACCTCGCAATGTCTCGTTGTCTGCTTGTAATGTACGGCAACCCCGACCTACTCTTTTTGGATCGTAGTTGGCGCGCGATCATAAAATACTGTGTCGATAATGATGGGTATATCGGTGATTTGCCGGCAACGTTGTCTGACCCAACAATAAAATTATAGGATGGATGCAAATTAGCTGATAATTTAGTATGGTCTTCGCTCTCATAATTATTTAAAGTTAATTTCCTATTTCCGTTATGAATACTATGTTTATTTGCTGCGTCCACTTCAATTGGACGGAGTGGCAGACTTACTTCAATGCTATTATTGTGCTTCCGTTTTTTCACGCAGCCATCGGCCATACTTGATTTTATAACTTGAGGATCTAAATTTTCTTCCTTTTCCAAAATCATTTGTCCAATCGAGTTAAGATTTCCTACACCATGAAATTGTTCCATACATTACGTATCGGTTAAAAACCTTGGTTTCTTCACTTGTTTCGTTGTTAACATGTCGTTGGTCTTTAATTCGTTCCATTCGTCGATACCCAAATCACCTGTAATATAGAAATAAAAACGTTAGCAAGGGGAGTACAACAGGGGAGTTAGGGCACGGAATCTCTACAAAATTATTCTAATAACGATTTGGTTGATATATAATTACCAGGCGTTCTTGAAAGCTGAAAAAATGAATTTTTTTTTTTTTTACATTTTTTACATCTATTCCTAAATAATTTAATATTTTTTCTTGGGAAAACAGCTGATTATGGTATTGCGCAACCAAATAGTTGTGTTTATAAGTTGAAAATGAACATGGACGCAAACAAATGGTTGTTTATAAATAAATATGAACCGAGCGGCAACCAAATGGTTGTTTATAAATTGAAAATGAACCCAGACGCAACCAAATGGTTTCGTTATAAATTGAAAATGAACCCAGAGGCAACCAAATGGTTGTATTTCTAAATTGAAAATGAACCAAGGCGCAACTAAATGGTTGTTTATAAATTGAAAATGAACCGAGAGGCACCAAAATGGTTGTTTATAAATTGAAAATAAACCGAGACGCAACCAAATGGTTGTTTATAAATTGAAAATGAACCGAAACGCACCACAATGGTTGTTTATAAATTGAAAATGAACCAATGATGAGCCATCTGTAAAAAATATCATGTACAATGGCCAGAATAGTTCGGTGGAAATTGAGAAAACTTGGAAGTGAAGTCTTTTGTTTCCCACTTTCTGTTTTTTATTCGCCAACTATTGATCACTATATGCGCTTCATTTCGAATAAAAGAGAAAGTTTAAAGATGATGCCAGGAGTAATGGAACGACTTCTGAAATGACACGCTTAAAAAACTGTTGGAAAAATTGTTAACGGAAATAAGAATGGCAATATTGCGAATGCTGAGAACAAAGGACATGCAACCCAATCTTGGCGTTGACAGAGTTCACCAACGTTCTCACCGGAGTTCCATCAGGTCTAGAAAAAATTAAATTGAAATTTTCCAAATTTTTCAGATATTTGATGTGGTCGTACTGTCCATCATTAATACGTCTTTTTTTACAATTACCTTAGTTAAATTGAAGGAAAAAGGAGGAAGTGTCTAATGCGAACAATAGCTTGGTACGTTTGGATTTCATCCAGTTACATCAGTCTCTACCTAAACCCAAAATTATCATCAATGGCTCTAATAACGATTATGGATCTAATTTTAATGTAAATGGTCCAATCCATTTTCAAACAAACCAAAAAATAATAATAATAATGAAAATAGTATTACGTTTTAGACCTCCTGGCAGTTTTTAGAAGCTCCTTCAATTCAGACTCATACGTAGCAGTCGCATTAGCAATTTGCCTCTTAAAAATAAGGCTTCGTTCCATAGAGGAATCAATGATCATAAAGAAATCGCCAAGCTCATTTGCCATTCTTAAACCTAAGATCACTAAGACCTTTCAAATTAAATGTCACGTTTTCAGTGCTAGTTGAAGTCTCTTCTGCAATGGACGGTGAATTTAACATTTCCTCCAAGTCAAACCTTCATCTTGCAATTCAGGCAACCGAATCCATCTCGTCCTATTTAAACGGTATAAAAGGTATACATATGAAATGTATAAAATGTACAAAACACATACAAACTTACAAACTCCATATAAAAGTCAAAAAAAACGGGAATAGCTCGCTAATAGTTGTTGCTAATTTTAAACAATCCACAGTAGGGAACATTGCACATTTTGCAAAGGCATAGGCTGGAGTCACCGGCTACTCACAGCATATGAAGACAGGTACCTAGATTAACAAACAAATGGGCGTATTCTGTTGCCTGCTAAAACTCTATATGGCGCTATTGATATATTTATTATGATTTGCATTGCCTTAACTGTTTCCATCAATTCGCAATTGAAGTTTCTAAACATTATCGAGGGATGTACAAGTACAAATATTCTCTTTTTGACTGCGTTTCTATTTTCAGCTTTGCCTAAGAATTTTTGTTGCTTCTTCTGCTGCTTAGCTAACATTACACCTTTGAACAACTCGGTTTGCAACAAAATATTGGTCTCTTCTTTCGCTTAAAAGTTTTTTTAATTTATAATTCCTCTTTTGTTTATTCAGTGCGTGACGTTTTTCAAAATGGCGTCTCTGCAATTGGATTTTTGTGCAATTGGCTTTATTTAATTGTTTGTGTATGCGTTGCTGTTTTGTGTTTTGTGCTTTGTATGTTTTGTTTAGAATTTTTAATTCTCTCTCGTTCACTTTCCTTGTCTATCTCTCTTCTGTGTGTTTTTCTTTCTCTCATCAAACATTTTTTTTTGGTTGCACACTGTACTTTTGGTTGCAAGCTATACTTTTTTTGGGTGCACACTATACTTTTGGTTGCAAGCTATACTTTTTTGGTTGCACACCATACTTTTTGGTTGCAAGCTATACGGTTGAAGGAAATGTAATGGTTTTCCTACGCCGGCCACTTCGTTTATAAAAAAAGATATTCATATAATAGATAAGCGTAGCAAGACATTATAAAACCAATTTAATAACGATTTTAAAAATGATCAACAAGAAATGTTAGTGAAAACAATCGTTTGCTCTTTATATCTTGAGCTTTCAAATACTTCTCCAGCCCAGAGAAACTCTTTGTATTTTGTAGAGGAACAATAATCGTAATCGGGTATAAGAGTAAAAGTTACGCGGATTTTAATTCTAATTCCCTTTCCACATCGGTGCCCTCATATAACGCTTTGTTCCGAAGACCGTCTTGTAACTTGGGCTATTCGAAACGATGTACTGACCATTGATACCTAGTTATAAAAAGTTTATATAGTTTCATTAATCATAGAAAACATATAAATAAACAATCATGCTCATTTTAGAAAAAAATGATTTCAGAGGTTAAAAAAACAGTTGAATGTAACACGTACCACATAACACACTTGACATAAGACTAACCGAAACCTTATCTATGTAATAAAAAGAAAACTGGTTTGTTTCAGTGACTTATAGTGAATAAATACAAATAATAGGTTCTACGTAGCTGCATCGAAAATCATTCTTGACCTAATAGTTTCGCCGACTAAAACATTTCTTTTAGACATTTGGATTAATGCAAGCAGACATTTATGATTACGTAACATTATTGGAATTATTGTCAGTCTTTTCTGGGTACACGGAATAAAAAGATCAACCTTTTTTTTCATGACTAAAGTTGTTATCTTTATAATCAATTATTTTAAAATTTGCGTTTATGTCGACGATAGATAATTTTTGTACTAACACCGTACAAATAGCCAACGACGTAAAACAACTGACAGATTGTCGCTTTGGCTGATTATTTTTAACAGAGATTGTTGTGATTGTGTTCTGCTTATGTGCGAAGCTAAATATAGAACGTCGAGAAGTGGGCGATGAGTCGTCGCGTCTGCATTGCATTTAAGAGTGGATTAACAAATGATAGCCCGTTAAAATTTATGCTTAAAAACTATTTAGGAATACAGTAGCTCTTCCAGGAAGTTCCGCCTGTTTTTAAAATAAAAAAAACTCCTATTTTGGTGATCTGAACCAAGTCACAATTTCCGAAAGATTTGAAAAATAATACGAGTTTATTTTAAAATGATCTCGACAGTGTCGCCCTCGATTAAAGATTGTCGTCAAACGCGTGCGGCTTATTAGAAAGTGCGAAATCGTATCTTAGAATTTTTTTGAACCATTTTCGGCATGTTTTATCAGACCCTGTGCCTTCACCAAACAGGTTTCATAAATTTTTACAAACTTCTGCAGAAGTCTTTCCTTGTGGAAACTTATACAGAATACAATCATGTAAAGAACTTTATCAGTAGTCTTGGATACACAATCGCTGCTCTGGCTTAACAGTAGCATGGATTCACTGATCAACGCAAAGATCCAAATATGCACTAAACTTTGCGACCGAAACGGACGAAACTTTCCCGTAGACCTAATGTATCTCAAATATCGGTTATCTGCTTGCTTTTGCGACTGCGATTTTAAACGATACAAAGAAACATTAAACAAAACATTATATACATGCTTAAAATTAAATCTTTTGTGGTGTTGTTTTCCGTGGATACTGTTAATAAAAAGTGCAAACCTAATAAACCCATTCTTTACATTTATTCCGTTTACCTGCACAAGGACCAATAAACTAATGTACCGACGAAGAAAGTACCAAATCCTACGTGAGTAGAGAATGTAGTTCGTGAAATACCTAGAAACATGAAACGACGCGCCGGCAGTCACTGTCCGAGTCGAATACATACTCAGCTCGTAAACTGGGCAATCGTTATGTATAACGTTAGCTATGTTTCAAACAAATTCTCAAACAAATATTCAACAAATACATGATCAAAATACCAATTTCTTTTCCGCGAACCTTTCTTCACTACCCAAAAAAAGTACATATATAAATAAATGAATACACAAATAAATGAATAAAAGTTAAGAAGAGCTTTCTTATCCATCATAGACGCTTTTTCAATTCAACTGAAAAAAAAAAAAAAAACTGAATAAAACTAGTCAGGAGACGTTCAAGGGGAGATAAATGCTTATTTTTTTTTTTTTTACATTTATATATATATATACAAGATTATATATTATATTTCAAGCACTTCAAGCACTTGTACGAATATATGGTAACAATTAGGAGAAAATTTTTCAAAATAGGGCAAAATCGAACGCCAGGTCTATAAAAATTGTATAAAACTATTCAGGAGACGTACAAGGGGAGATAAATGATTATTTTTTATACATTTATATATACAAGATTATATATTATATTTCAACCACTTCAAGCACAAAAAAAAAAACTTAATCTTGTAGTTGTTTTAATAATGCGTTGCGTTTCAGACTAGAAAAGCGTGATTGACCATTCCTTATTTATTACATCTTATCATACCATGGCTGAAAGATAGTTTTCATTTAATTATTCAATTCCTTTAGTAGATGCGGCATATGAAAACTTACATTAGTAACAGTTAAAATGGACATTTATACGCGCGAATACTCGCCCAGCAAACCAGCCACCTCACTTTCCAATCATACGTTTTTTAATTTTATGATTTTATGACACATATCTTTCACTTGTTGAGAGAATTCGTCACGTCTTCCATTCCTAAGACTTTAATAAAGCCTATTCATTCAATTTTTGAAAAAATTTTAAATATTAAACAAAACCTTTTTTACTTCTTATTTGACGATCTTATTTTATCCGCGGTCAGAATTGAAATGATCGATTGCATGAAAGAGAGAAAGAAATGCACGTCTGCAAAATTTCTGTTAATTTGCAGAAACCGTTATCAGCTTTCATTGTATATCTGAAAACACATAGTTATTAAAAAAAAAATAGCAGAATTGAAAAGCATTCCCATCCTAAATACTTCTTTTGACAGTGGTACGGAAATGAAACAAAATGTGAAAATGAAAAAATTTGTACTTATTTTAATTTTTTTTTTTTTTTTTTTAGGAGTCTAATTTCTCAGGAGTACCGACATCTGTTATATACGCTGGCGAAATATCAATGAATTTATAGATAAATCAAAATCGGTCGTAGAGTTTTTCTGTGCCTGTTGCGACCTAGAGCTCGTCGCGTCGGTTGTCCAGCGTCCGTCTGTCCACCGTAAGTCCGTCTGTCACCGTCTGGAGTCTTCCCTACCGTGCCATCATATGCACACCCCTTTCACGTAGCCACAGCGGTGGCAGCGCACGCTTAGCCACGCATTGGGAAAAACACAAAAAAAATTATTAAACAGACTAAACTAACTTACTGTACAGGCGTCGGTGCAGTGTCGGCCGCGGTAACTGCTACATCGGCAATCCCTGTTCCTCTTTCCAATAAGCCTTTTCCACCGTTCACAGCAAAGTTTTGCAATCGTAGAATCTCCGTACAAGTAGTTGAATTAGGTGACAAAGCCCCTTTTTTCCTTTGAGATGGCTCAATGGTAGTAATCAACGCACAATATGTATATAAATATTTTATTCTTTTATTTCACAGCAAAGTTTTACAATCGTAGAATTTCTGTACAAGTAATTGAATTAGGTGACAAAGTTTTTCTTTCGTGTTGGCTAAATGGCAGTAACCAATTCACCACGCAGACCGATTGTCATTTCATATTAATTTTCCCATCTCTTTTACAATAGATTAAATCAAAGTTTATTTCAATCTTCTTGTTAATTTTTAATACTCATATTAATTTTCACATCTCTTTTATAATAAATTAAATCAAAGTTTACTGCAATCTTCTTTTTAATTTTTAATAGTTAAATTAGATAAACTATTCCGGTGTGCAAGACACAATCTTGCGACATCTCTTTTATAATAAATTAAATCAAAGTTTACTTCGATCTTCTTTTTAGTTTTTTTTTTTTTAATAGTTAAATTAGATAAACTATTCCGATGTGCAAGACACAATCTTGCGACATCTCTTTTATAATAAATTAAGTCAAAGTTTACTTCGATCTTCTTTTTAATTTTTAATAGTTAAATTAGATAAACTATTCCGATGTGCAAGACACAATCTTGCGACATCTCTTTTATAATCCTCCTCTTTTTTTTCTTAGTTATTAAAAGAATATTTCTTTCCATATCATTTTGTTGTTACCACTTAAACACACAACAATAAAAGGTAAGCACC